ATAAATAACTAAAGTAGGAAAAGGAGGAGTTTCTGGATGATATCCATCTGTGTTTGATGGCTTCTAAATAATTTCTCTCTTTTCTTATAGATTTTTAGCCAGAAAAATACAAGCATTTATTTCCTTAAAAGAACCAAAAAGATTTGTTTTTCTGTTCGGCTAAAATATGAAACATGAAGGAAAATCTGTATTTTTTTTAAAGCATGGTCCTTTGGCGTCTTTTCCCTGAGTAATGGGGACAGCAGGCAGGTTGTCCTCGCTCTAGAGGACACGTTAAACCCTCCACAGTGAGGCTTTATAGCTCCAGGTTCAGACCCAACACAGTGTGAAATTAACTGCAGCTTTATCACCCTTTATCTCATGTTCTTTAATTAAATTAGAGAAGAAAAGAAAAGCTTTAATTAGAAGGAACAGGACTCTGTCTCCTCATAGCAGGAGGATAATAACTAAAGGAAAAATAATGAAAAATAAAAAGTCCACCTGCTGCTGATTAAGCATCAGATTCAGGATTCAGAGGTTTTAGTTAATCCATCAGTTTGCTGCTCATTCTGATTTTTCCTCTGGTCCTTGTGAAAGGAGGCGATCATGGAGGTGAAGGGTCCTCAGCTCCTTCACTGGGCTCCTCTAGTGGCTCCTGGAAACATCAGGCTTCAGCAAAGTGGATCCGGATGACTCCTCCGATCTTCAGCTGGTTTGAGGTCAAAATGATTCAAGATTTAAAAGAAAAGTTTTTGGAAAATTCCCCAAACCCCAGAGCTCCATGTCTGGTTGATGTTAGGAATCCAGTTTGTGTGAGTTGTGTGTTGTTTGTTCTCCCTCCACCACCAGGTGGCGCCCGGTTCTCACACACCTGCGGATGGTTGCCTCATTACCGGAGGATTTTTAAGCTGCTGACTGCCACTACCTCGACGCCAGAGTGTTTGTTAGTTTTGGGTCATCTAGCCAAGCTGAGTCAAGCTGAGCCTTTTCTCCCTGAGCTCTAATCTTGTTGTTTTTTGTCTTTGCCTCTCGACAGGAAGTCATCCTGCAAACTGGATGTTTTGGCCTTCTCCCCCTGGAAGGATCGTTTGAGCTTCACACTGAGCAGGGGATTAATCTCCACACGTGCTGTTCAAGTTCTCATGGAAATCTAAGTGGCAGTCAGCTCCATTGCTCCTCAAGGAACCAACCTAAGTAAACCTGTCCGCCCTCCAACGAGTCAACCAAGTTCTGGAATAACCCATACCGACTGGATTCTAGGAACAAGAAGAAGAGGTTTTCTTGCTTTGAAATTTGGATGAGGGAAACTAAGGGTTAAATGTTAAAAAGGGTTTTAATTATTAGCTTCCTTTGGAGTAATCAGTAAGTCAGACTGCTAGCCTGACTTACTATGTTTAAACATGGAGTTTCACCTCAGAAATATGGAGTCAGTCCCAGTTCCTTTAACTTTTAGGACCAATGTCGTCTCCAAGGGCAACGCTGTGGTGTTGCCACACATCTGTAGATCTAGCTGGGAAGCTTCCAGAGCTTGTTCAGTTCAGTTTGGCTTCTTACCTCCGTTTCATTTCCAACAAAAACATTCAGATCAGGAAAACAGAGCTTCACTGAGAGCCGATTCTCATGGTGGCTCCTCTTCAGGTTCTTATGATGGAAAACAGAAACTCGTCAACAGCATTGGAATCATTTATTTAGGGGGAAAAAAACAACATTTTAGGAGGATTTCTGGAGTAAACAGTTACCTCATGCTACGTTCACGCTGCTCTGGATTCCTCCCCTCCTTCTTTCTCTTGTCTTACTTTGATTTTTTGCTATTTTAGGAGAGCAAATAAAGAGAAGCTCGTTATCATATGAGCACGAGTTTTCATTCATTAAAATTCACGGAGAGACTTCATTTGCACAAAAGCCTGAAGGGATTATTAGAGCTCCCCCAGTTCTGCAACATTAAACAGAGCTTTGTTAAAAACGAACCAGCAGCTACAGCTGATTCCATTCGGCCATCTTCCATCCATTCCCTGTTTCTGATTTGCTCTGCACTCGCGTTCACTCTAAACAATCTGCAGATTAGAGCTTGATGCTTTGTTTTCATCGTGCAGAGAGTCAATTTGCTTATGTTGCTCATGGCAGCAGGAAAACTTCCAACCGCAAAGTTTGTTCAGACAACCGCAGGAATTATTGCTGGTGAGGAAAGAGGTTTGATAACCAGACCTCGGGGATTTTTCCTGAGAAAACACCTGACCTGCATGTTGCGTTACGTCTACGTTCATTTTAGCATTCTCTGGCTTATCAACCATCTATTTTCTGTCACACATTATCTGTGCTGGGCTCACGAGGGGTGCAGGTCCTTATCTCTGTCTATCACAGTCCATCGCAGGGCAATATAGACACAAACAACTCCAACTCTTAATGCTACCCACTGCTCAAGTGAAGTGAAGTGAAACTATTACACATTCTCTCTATCTTCTATGTGATCGCAACGGAAATTATTAAATTTTTTTTCTGATTAACGCTAAATTCATTATATCACAGCAAACGTATTAATTTTAGGCATAAATAATGATGCATTGATCATTCCTTGCTGACTGGAGTTAAATATCCAATTAAATAATTAATACTACATTCAAAATGATAAATTAAATATCTTTATAAGTGAATATAGAGTTATGGAGTTTAATGATTAATAGTCTGTAGCGTTGTCATTCCTTTGCTGAAATGTCTTGGATCAGGTAAATAAGATAAGATGAAAATAGTGGCGACTTCACTCCTCTACCAGTCAGCCTGTGTCTGCACTGCAATTTTTTAAAATCTAAATAAGTAATTTTTGCTTAAAATAAGTGTATTTTTTCTTGAATTGAGGCAAGACAAATAATGTTAATTTAAAATCAGATAAAACTATTGCATTGTCTTATTTCAAGTGAATAATATCTAATTATGAGAAAATATTAGTAAATTTAAATCATACACTGGAAAAACGATCTAGAAATAAGTAAAAATTTCTTAAATTATGTGTATTTACCCTTAATTTGAGCAGGTAAATGAGATAGTTTGCAAATGGAATGAGTATTTTAACTCTTCAAATAAGATAACTGGATAATATGCACTTGAAATAAGACAATGCAATTGTGTTTTCTTATTTTAAATGTAAATTGTCTTGTTTCATTGGCAAAATGTCTCTTTTTCCTCCTCAATTCAAGAACAAATGCACTTATTTTAAGAAAAAATTGACTTATCTAGATTTCCATTTTTTCCAGTGTATGTTTATTTTACTGTTTATATATATATATATATATATTTTTTTTTTTAACTATTTTTCAAGGCTGCACTTAAAAAAAATAACTTCTCCAGAGAGCTGTTCTAAACAAACTTTCCTTTTGTTTTACACTTGTGTAAACAAAATGACAAATAAATCTGTCTAATCTGATTTATCTTATTTTAAGAGTTAAAATAGTAACTCCATCGGCAAATGATCTTATTAACCTACTCAAATTAAGGGTAAATACACTTAATTTGAGAAAATAGAACTCATTACTAGATCATTTATGCAATGTGGATCTTTGACCGTTTGTCATCAAAATGTTGGCAGGAAAACGAGGAGGAAAACCTGCAGAAAAAAAGAAGTTGTGAATCAAATCAGGGACAGCTGCTGCCTCCTTGTATGGAGTCTCTTCTGATCCACCCCCCTCCCCCCTTCCTTTTTTAAAAACTGCCTCGTTAACAAAAAAGAAAATCCTAAAATTCCCTCCTTGGGTTTTTCTTTGTGCATCTGAGCTGAGATCGGTTTTAAATCTGCCTGCTTGTCTTTCTCAGCCCGTTATGTTCGACTCACACATGGAACGTATTAACCCCGCCCTCGGTACCGCTCAGCATTCAATGCAAGTAAAGATAAAAATCCATTCTTCAGATGTTTTCTGTCTCTGGTTGAAGTTCAGACAAAGTCCAGTCTGTTCTGAATCAATGCTTTGGGTTTTATGTCAATGTTTTAACTGTTTTCAAGCTCGTAGATGAAGAACCGTACATAAAAAACATAAAGAAAAGCTGAAAGCAGCGGAGAGCACAGCTGAAAGTGATCTTTTCAATTATCTAACATGGATTTGATGGACAGGAGTCATGGCAAAGTCTCCAACTTTGACTGTCATTTAAAATGTGGTAACCCCTCTGTACACTGCAAAACACAGATCTAAATAAGTCATTTTTTCTTGAATTGATGGTATATGTGAGACATTTTGCCAATGAAACAAAAAAATGTACATTTTAAATAAGAAAAAAATATTGCCTTGTCTTATTTCAAGCGCATATTATCTGATTACCTTACTTTAAGAGTAAAAATACTCATTCCATTGGCAGCTCATCTTATCTACCTGCTCAAATTAAGGCTAAATACACTTAATTTAAGACATTTTTGCTCATTTCTAGATGGTTTTTGCAGTGTAGTGCTCTATCTAGAGGTCGGATAGTGCCCTATAGGAATTAGGACTCACATTCAGTCTGTATCTGATGATCAAATACGTACATTTTGGACAAAATGTCGAATTCTAAATAGAAGAAAAAACAAAAGTCCTTACCTTTTAGCTGTTCATACAGTCTGTGAAACGTCAAATATGGCACTATATCCATTATTTACATGAAACAGCATATATGTTTTTAATCATTTAGGAGATTCAGAAGGTTTCATACTGTTAAAAGGGGTTTTTCCTCTCCACTGTCTCCGCATGCTCGGTTTTTGGCATAAATGTAGAGTCGTAGACACAAAGAGTCGATGCGGTCAGCTGCTTTCCTTTAGATAGAAACTTTTTACCGATTTTTTACTGATTGAACTGTGTCACTATAGCGACCGGAGATGATGTGAATTGTTGCTATATAAAAACTGAATTGAATTTGGAAGTTTGTCTTTTTTTAATGAGCATTAGAGCAAAACATGACGACTTTTGGTAAATAGGCTATAATAACATTTAACAAGTTTAACGAGTTTCTCATCCTAACTGTTAAATGTGGAAATAATATGATGTGACTGAATTAAATCTCACCTTTAAAGATCAGTGGAGGAGAACTCAGAAACATGATTAAATGAAGTAAAAAATCATTTATTTAGTTAAGAAAGAGGTTTTATTGAGCTAATCACTTAGCATACAGAATCTAAGTTTGAATGTCTAACGAGCTTCTCTATAATGAGAAAGTTTAAAATAAATCTCACTGAGACTAACGGCTTAAAGCAGAACCTGGTAACAACCGGATCTTAACCATTATACCAAACGGGGGCCCTAACGAGCCTCTGCTGTCACTAATTACCGCTCCTCTGGTTGTCATGGTGACCAGAGTGGCGGGAAGGGGCCTGTGATGAAGATGGGCCGAGCCTGTTTGTTCAGAGTTACTAAATTCTGCTTTAAAAGAGACGAATGTTTGACCTGTAAAGGTTTTCTGAGGCGTGAGGACACTTGAGGTGCTGTTGGCTCTGAGTCTGAACACAGTTCTGCTCTGGAAGGTTCCAGATTCTTTAAAATCACAATCAGTTTTACAGTGAAGAATATTTACACACAGACTAGAAGTAAAAGTCCACTAATTACATCCAAACAAGCTCAGAATCCCAGTGATCCCAAAGTGGGAATGTTCTGTTCAGAGACACCAAGGTGTCACCGGACTTTTCTACGTCTGATCTGGAAACCTGGTTCTATGTTGATGTATTGAGATGAGCTCCAGGTTTCGAAACGGGATGAGAAAAGTTTCAGATCCAGAGGGAAGATCGGCTCTGGTCTCTTCACCCGTTTCAGAAATTCAGTGCAGTGTGGACGTGTTCCACTTCCTCCTGTGTCCTTTTCATGTCTTCCGGATCCACCTCCTCCTTGAGGAGGCGTTTCAGGACGCTGAGGAGACGCTGATGGACCCTCCGGCCTCCTGCTTCGTCTTCCTCTGATTTATCCACGCCCCGCTCTGTTTCTGAGCATTCCTGCACGGCTCGCTGCAGCTCCACCTGTTCAACGCAAACATAGAGCAGAAACATAGATCAGACTCAGACATCATCTAGCTCCAATGCTAATAGGCCGGTATCATTGTATTACACTCGTTCTACATCATGTCAACCATAAGTGCAGAAAATTACAGACCTCAAAACATTTATGAAGCCAGTATTTTACCACTTTTTTTCCCACAATTAGTGTTTATAACAAATTGTAACATTTATAAACCTAAAATAACATAAAAATCTATAAAAAGTTGTGAAACTGCTGCTTTTCAAGCTAAAATAAAAATATCGGACCGTTGTTAGCTTTGAGCTACGCGCATTGATCATCTCTCAGCTTTGTTTCATTCTTACGCAAGCCGGTAACATGGCTCTGCTTTATGCAACCTCGCCATTTCTATCCTTGTTTAAAACCTTATTTCATTGGCTGCAAAGCCAAACAGCCCACATTCTCTTAACCAATCACAGCAGGACTCTATGAGGCGTATTATTGCTCTACTCGCTGCATCATTGGCTGACAGTCCCTGACTCAAATCGAGTCGTACAAAGATGCGGACACTTTTGTCTTGTACACTGAAAAAAGTGTAACTGTATTCAAACTAATGCTTTTCACTCTAAACTAGATAAAATTGTTGATTTGATTGTATAACTCTTTCTTTTTGGATTTTGTGACATCAAGTTTGATTGAACCTGAAATAAACGTAGAAAGGACCCAAAACAAAGTTTTTGATTTCTCTCAATATGTATATATTTATTTATTCATGGCCTTCAGGTAATTTTTTTATCTCAGTGTAAATCCCAGACCATGACAGGCTGGCTCAGTGATGCAGCGGCTGCCTTGCAGCAAGAAGGTTGTGGGTTCGGATCCTGGCCCGGGATCTTTCTGCATGGAGTTTGCATGTTCTCCCTGTGCATGCTAGGGTTCCTTCTGGGTACCCCAGCTTCCTCCCACAGTCCAAAAACATGACTGTTAGGCAGAGATAGCAAAAGTACTCACTTTCTGTACTTGAGTAAAAGTACAGATACTTGTTTTAAAAAATACTCTGGTAAAAGTGGAAGTACTGATTAAACTTCTTTACTCAAGTAAAAGTAACAAAGTACAGGCTTGTAAATTTACTTAAAGT